AATTTATTTGTTTTTGATAAATGGCGTTTTGTGGGCGTGGCAGTGGTCCGATTACGCCCATCTGCAATACCAACCGTCTCACGGTACCAAGAAACATGTCTACCAAGTTTCATAAAGATATCTCAATTTTTACTCAAGTTAGAGCTTGCACGGACGGACGGACGGACAGACAGTCACCCGGATTTCAACTCGTCTCTTCATCCTGATCATTTATATATACATAACCCTATATATAACTCGATTAGTTTTAGGTGATACAAACAACCATTAGGTGAACAAAACTATTAAACTCTGTAGCAACAGGTTGCGAGAGTATAAAAATCTTTAAGAAAAATTTATTTGGTGTATTATTAAATTACACATACTAATATGTACTAGAAATTGATGTCCGTGCCACATGAACGCAACGCAACTATCTATAAAAAATCTAAAACTGTTGAAAAATTTTTTTCTTACGAAGGTCAACGGGTGAAAAGTAATGCAAAAGCTTTTAGTTTAAAGGAAAGGCTCAAAAATTTTATGAACTACTCGGAGAAGGCAGAAATTTAGATATCTTGAAGAAACTTGGTGGTTTATCGAAAAACTATAAAGTTTACAGCAGGGCTGGACTGCTACTTACGTATGGCACTACTCATGAAGAAATTGTCGAAATCGGACTATCTTTTTTCATGCGCAGTATACCGTATTTGAGGACCGAAAAGTTGACCGTTCCCACGACAGTCGGGTCTACGTAAAAGGAACGGACCCGGATTTATTCCGGCCAAGTACTGTCAACTCGGCAGAATTCTGCCGCTACAACAACAGCAGCACCGAAAAGTTGGATTAGATATCCTAACAAGAATAAGTAGCTAACAATGTGGCTAAAAATGGCACACAAAGTCTGAAAATATTTCGATTTTTGTAAATTGTGATAGTATAAAATATTCAACTGCAACCGAACTCTCTCGCTCTTGCTGGTTAAATATGCGAATATTATGAAATAATTTGTAGTACGATAATATAATAATAATAATAAATACAAAAACACAGTTCAACATCATTAATTTTGTCGAGGTATGTATGCAGTTAATAGTGCTTGTCGCATTATCGATTCTGAGAATTTTTCTTATCACAAAACTTTTACACATATTAATATATGTATGTACATATATTTACATTATACATACATATTTGTATACGCATATGTAATAGTGTGTGAATGTAAATGAGCTGATAAGATCTATTTGTTTCTAAGTTAGTTTGTATATTTTTTATATATATATTATTTTTGGAAGTTCTTTAAGATAACAGTAAACCCAAAAACAATTTACATTTTGCGCGTACAAACAAATACATACTTAATTACATTTAAATATGTATATACATAAGCATAGGTATGTACATATGTATGTATAAATATGTTCGTATAACAAATATAAAAAATATATAATAGTGAAAGTGTCGCCTTGTGCTAATTGCAGTGAATCGTAGATACGGTATCATTAAGTGACATGATAGAGATTACTGGCGCCAAATGCACAACAATATAGTTATGGTAGGCGAGCGGCAACAAATTACTTTATTTTTACAACAATTCTATATAAACACATTTAAACAATTATTTATTATACTTGATTTTCTTAATATTTTTTTATTTGTTAATTTAGTTTCATACTTGCATAAGCATGTACAATATCAAATGTTGTTTAGCTGACCATAATATATAACGAGTTTAATCCTATCAAATTTTATCTTTTTTTTTTTAGACAGTACTAAGAAAACCCCTAACGGCTATTAAATTATAGCATAATTTGTAATGCAAAAACTAAGTAATCGATAAAAAATTGGCGCAGCTGCCATTTTTAAACTGAACTTTCCTTTACATTGCTTATAAACATACGTACACACTACAAGTATATACTCATTGTGTTAAATAAATAAAAAGAATTTTTGAAAGTAAACGAAAAAAGAGTTAACAAAGGAATTATGTACATACAAATATATAATTACGAAGAATGCCACAGCCCTAACTTGTTTGACGAAATCAAGAATTGTGCTTGATATTTTATATTATTTTTTTAAATGAGTACCGACAAAGAATTCGTTTCTTTTGCAAATACTAATAAGATTACATTTTTCATTGTATGTATTTGCATATGTACATGCAGTTATGTCAGATCGAATAAAACATCCGCAAAGTTTGCATAAAAACTGGAAGAAAAATTGCAACGATAAGAAATAAATTAGAAAGCGATAAGCATTGTACTGCTTATCACATTGCGAAAGCGACAGGACTGGAGTAGGGAGATAAAATATCCGAATGCACACCTTATCGTTGTCTGTCATTTCCTGTTGCTTTGTTGAATGACGTTGTAAATAATCAAGTATGTAAAGCAGTAATTCAATTTAAAAAAAAAAATTGTGAGTTATATGAGGACAAAGAATGTAGATTACCCAACGTCATTAAGCGCATCACATACATACATCCTTAACTGCAAGTTTGATGGAGTTGATATAACCGCAAAAATAGTATCATTGTTATTGCTGTTAATTTTGGTGTTTTGGTGGGTGTATAAATAGGGACGGCCATTATTTTCAAAAGCAAAATATATGCATTATTACAGTACCATTAACTGCATGTCACCAAAATAGCACACAATTTATTTATTATTTATTTCGAAAATATACAGATTACAAATAACTTACCGTAATATGATTACCGACGCCAGTTGCAAATATACAAAAATATTTGCCGTAATTGCGGATTTTCCAAAATCCGATTCGCCGTTTTCTAGCTTTTAAGTTTATCAGCACTGTCTGTTGCTTTCACAATTCGCAAATTTATCTGCTTTTTCTGTAATATCGTTTTGTGCGTTTTATATTCGGTTGCTTTTTTTTCTTTATGCACTATTTTAAAACCATTATTGCCTAATAAAATTCATATTCCACTACCACAGTCCAATAAACTTTGTAACATTTAATTTTTACGAATTGTACGATTATTTCGCGAACCGAAATATTATTTCACCAATTGGAAATTAAATGAATAAAGTTTTTATTTTTCCCTCTTTTGCCATTCGTCTGTCATCAGGTTTGAGAACGTTTACGTGCTGCGATCATATGACGTTTTTAGTCTCCAAACATTGGTGTAGACTTGAGATCGTCAATGACTAGCAATGGGAAAATCTCAAATTGTAGAGTGTGTAAATTGAGCAAATATCATGTAATATCTTTATTTAAATACACATTAATTTTGTTGTTAAGCAAACAGTTCTATGTATTAAATATCTCAACTATAAATATTTAACTCTACATATATGTACTAAATTTTTCATTTGGCTCATCTATTGTTAACGGACCTTCACAGCTGTTTTGTATTGACATTTCATATTATTTTGCTTTCAAAAAATCCAGAGTGATTAAGATTTGTTGAGAAATGGAGAAAAGTAATCATGAAAACGAAATACTTCCGGCATTGTCTTTTAGCCAAAATTCAACCAACTCGAATTTACATTCTACTGAACCAGCCGACATTCAATGCCTCCAGTGCAATTGTGTTTATCAATTTCCCGCAGACAAAGATGACTACCTCGCACACCTGTTTTTGGAGCACCGATTGGTTATTGCGGATGTGGAAGATATTCCTTTATTGGAAGATTATTTGATATTTTGGCTCAAAGAATTTACAGGTTAGTTTTATATCTATGGTAGTTCCATTTCCAGATAGTACTATATTTGTAGGTCATGAGTTGGAAGAATACTGCACCACAATGCTGCTAGATCAATTGCCAGATGGCACACCTGCGAAAAACGAAAGATATTATTTACTGAGTGATATACTACCAAAAGATTACGAATTGCGCCATAATCTACACAAAAATCACCTGGAACGTGCGCTCGCTCAGCATCAATTCGAACTGACAGATCGTAATTTTACAAAGGAATGTCTGTATTGTCGTGATATTATTACTGGTTTGCGTTCCGATTTTCTGGAGCACTTATTTAATAAACACTTCTTACAATTAGGTAAACCCGAAAATCTGGTTTATATAGATGAGCTACTGGCAAAAGTGCAAAGCAATCTTGAAAATTTGGTGTGTCTCTATTGTGAAAAAGTTTTTAAAGATCGATCCACGCTAAAGGAGCATATGCGTAAAAAAGCACATAAGCGTATCAATCCTAATAATCGTGAATATGATCGTTTCTTCCTGCTAAACTATCGCAATAAGAAGCCACTCAATAAACCAACTGTTGGAAAACGGAAAACTGAAAGAAGACGTAAAGTACAAGAAGAAGCGGTAGCAGAAGTGCGCTCACCCGAATTGGCGACATCACCAGATTTTGAATACCGTTTTCCCGTGCGTAGCCAAAGTGACGCAAGTGATTCAGACTGGTCTGATTGGGATGAAGATATGGGAAAGATATCTCCATTCAATTGCCTTTACTGTAAACAGAAAGAGGAAAAATTCGAAGCTCTAAAGAAGCATATGCTAGCCACGCATGTCGTAGACTTTGACTTCGCTTTACAGGGTCTGAATTTTTATGAGAAAATCAAAGTTGTTAACTATGTGCGCCGACAAATATGTCTGATGCGGTGTGTAAGCTGCAATTTACGTTGTGAAGATGGAGTAAGTATTGTTATAATGTTTATGTATTAAATTAAGGAAATCAACAGTTGTGAATTATTTTAGGAAAAATTACTACATCATATGGAAACCGAGAAGCATTTCGGTTGTGGCACTAAAAAGCAATGGGACAAGCCTGAATATTTCTTTCCCACTTATGAGGATGACAGTCTTTTATGTGTGCTTGATGATAGTCCCAATGACGATATGGATGATGGTGTGGTGCGGATTATATCTGAAGATACAGTTGCACAGATAAATAAAGATGCTGAACGACTGTCTTTGGAGAACTTTCCATACGCGTAATTTAGAATGCTACTTTTTATAACAAATAATCAACTCAAATACATTTTTGAAATGTGAAGAGATTCAAAATAAAAATCAAAACAGTGATCATTGTGTTAAACAAAAGTTTTTTATTTATTTATATTCTTAGCGTTATTATGCCTATAGCTATTTACATTTTAAAGCAAGATTCTATTTGCTTAATGCATGTAAAATATGCTTATATTGCAGTGCCACGTTCCAAATTCTGTTTGATCTCCGCTGTATATTCGCCGTAAAAACGATGTAGTTTCTTGTTGAATTTAGAGTTGCGTTCATTAATGAAATCAACATCAGCATCATCATTGTATGTGCGTCTGCGCGAATATTTCTTTCTACGTTCGATTTGTTGTTCCAGATCTTTGGCCATATTATCGATTGAAGATTTCTTATCCTTTACTAAACCTTGTAGAATAGTATTGGGCCCACCATAAAATGCTTCACCTAACTCCTCTTTTTGTTGCTCATATTTAGCCATATCGCGTGGCGGCAGATTCTTAACCAAACGATTGTATTGACGTGCGGTTTGAGCTTCGAAAGTAGAAAAACCTAAATCGGGATTCTGTTTACGTTTCTTCTTTTCAATACGCTCAGCATCAACTGCTGAAACAGACAATAATTTTATGCGTTGATAATCCTTTCCTTGTTGTGTGGCCTCCTCCCGTGCCTTTTCATCTGCTATCAGCCATTCTGCTTGACGTCTACGTGCTTCAAAGTTGTTGGGTAACTTTTTGCGGGCATCCTCCGCAATCACCTCATGATTATTCTGTGTACGTGCCTCCTGTCGCTGTTTGTGCAATTCCCGCAAACGAGCCTTACGCTTAGCTAGCTTTTCGGCTGCTGTTTTCTCATGGACTTTCTCTGTTTCCATTCTTGTTGAGTTGTATAAATTTTGTATTGCTTGCGTATTTTTCTTGTTATCGTTGTTCACTACTTTATATTGTCAAGTAAAAACAAGTGTTGATTTCAGCGTTGAATTTGCTTATGTTTATTCATAAATAAATTAATCACGTCTCTACAATTCTACACCTTGTTTTACTTGCGTAGTTTATTTACTACCTGCTTCTTTTCATATCGCCATTCACAATCAACTCAATGTTTAGTGTTGACAAATAACGAAAGACGATAAATAATCGTCATAACAGTTCTGCAATATTATAAAAAAATTCACAGACTACTATTTATGCGACAAAGAAATATTTATTTAAAATTTAAATAATAAAAAAGGTTCATACAAAATTTTTTGAGAATCCATATTATAAGGCAAGAATGATTGATAAATGTATTCTAAATAATTTACCGTGAACAGCACACTACAAATATGAATCCAACCATTGTGAATGTAATCAAATGTCAACCACTGTAAAGTTATAGGAATTCCTTAAAGAATATTTAAATTTTTTTTTAGAGTTTTTTACGCAGTTTCAGTTTAAAAATGCAAAAAGCCAGTGGAAAAGAAACTTATCTTATCACAAATACTCTGAATTGTTTACCATTTCTGTTGGATGGTCATTCAGTTTTAATAGATTTGCGGAACGAATCATCTGTGGCCGGTCGTATTGATGCCACTGGAACTGATGGTTTTATGAATATCCACTTAATAGATGCTGTATTTATAGATAGATATGGTCTCCAATATCCCTTCGAACAGTTTATGGTGCGTCCACGTATGATACGTCAAATACATTTACCGGCACATTTAGATGCTGCAAGCGCCATACGTGACTGGTTGGATCATGGCCGGAAACCAGTCAGGAACGCACCACAACAACGAAAGGGAAAAATGACCTTTAAAGAAAAACGTGCAAAGCAAAAGCACATAGAGGTGTTGAATGAAATATTAAAAAACCAAAAATGATATTAGAAACAAGTAAAGCGATAATTTTGTAACAAATACAATATTTTTATTTCTAAATACAAAAAACACTTTATTTAGTATTTATACATGTGTATATTGACAATAAGTACTGCATATAAACCAAGCCTTGAAGTTAAGAGGAAATAAAAATTAATGCATAATTCAGTAATTTTAATAAATACTTGTGTATGCAATTACACAGAAAAAATTCACGGCGAATCCACACAAGATTCAAGTTAATAAAATATATGTTATTTTGTATTAATTGTGATGATGTTCTTAAATAAGTCCCACAAGGAAGTAAGCAACTGGCAGTATAAGTGCAGCCTTGGCGTTGGATAGACCAAAAGCAAATATAGCTAGCTTCCATATGCCGTAGTAGAACGCCAATTGCAAAGCGACATGTAAAGCCAGCAAACTGTAAACAGAAAAGTAACTCATGATGGCATTTTCAATTAAATTGATAGTATTTACATCTTATCCTTCTTTCTGGCAGCTGATAATGTTTTCGGTGATTCTTTGCTTAGATACTGGCGCACGCCCATAATAGTGTTGAGGAAGTAGTCATCCCAAGCTAAATCACCAATATCAATGAAAAATGTTTCACGGTCACGTGGATCCAACTGCTTCGAAAGTGCCAACGTATGTTTGCTGTCATAATGCCATTCAGTAAAAATAAATTTCTCCAAAGTATTCAACGAGTTCCAGACACTCTTATGCAAGCGTATCAGACTGTAAAAAAAAATTATATAAAATATAGTATTTAAAATTATAAAATAATAATAAAAATAATTTTACATACATAGGTCTACCACCGCTTAATTTAGTGACCAAGTCCAAGAAGAAAGCGGGGATAAAATGAAATAGTATAGCGCCCAAACGGAAGAGGAATAAACTCTTGACCAGCTTTAGATTTGGATACCTGAAAGAAAGTGCAATAATATGCTTTGTAAGAATAAATGCGTTAGTAAAAAGAATTATTTGCCTATTACCAAACAGCAGATACCAGCGGATATTCATGGAGGAATGCATTAATTTTATTTATCAAGAACTCGAAACGGAAAGGCTTGTACGTGCTGGAAGTGAGATGGAAAATTTGTAGCTCAGCTGGTTTGCCAGCGTTTTTGATTCTGAAATGCAAAAGATAACAATATATAATACAAATTTTAATTATAATATGTATAAATATTATGTAACAAGCATCTAAGAGTTAATTATAGATTTCTTCAAAAAAGAAATTGTGGCGGGAAACAAGGATGATAGTTAACCCACGGATTTATAACCGTAGTGGGCACCGAAGGCGTAATCCCCTCCATAACTTAATCTGCCTGCTCTTGCATTAACGGATATTTTCATATGTGAATAAATCCGGCCAAATAGAGCGGCTTCGTAAAAACTCTTCCATATTTAAGAAATGTGATTTGCAGCACTTTCGTTGGGATTCGAACATGCGACCGTGTGTATAAAAGTGTTTAAGCATAACACCTAAACAAGCTGAACCAAAATTGCGTTCACTAAACAGTTATTAATAGTAAGTCACTAAGCATGTGTAGAAATTCACCACGCTACTAATTTCAAGTATGTATATGAGATGTGGCGTGCTTTCAGGCGCAAATGTAGTGTGGACAGAAATTGCGCTTGTGTTGCAAATAAATACAACGAAACAAATTACATTTATTTTTGTCCACAAAAAAAAAATATCTAAATCTAATATTAAAAAAACGAAATATAAACAAAAAAATATATATAAATAAAAAACAAAAAAATATATATAAATAAAAAACAAAAAAGTATAAATACACAAAAAACAAAATTTAAATAAAAAAAATACAAATTAAAAAAAAATAAAAAATATAAATGAAAAAATAATAAAAAATATAAATACAAACAAAAAAAAAATAAAAATTAAAATAAAAATAAAAAATATTAATGAAAAATAATAAAAAATATAAATAAAAAAAAATAAATGAAAAAATAATAAAAAATATAAATAAAAATAAAAAATTTATTATTTATTATAAATAAAAAATTAAAACAAACTACAAATAAAACCAAAATACAAAAAAAAAATAATAAATAAGAAAAAAACAAAAACAATAAAAATATATATCAAAAAAACAAAAAAAGGATGAAACAAAAAATTAAATAGTTTAAAAAATATATCATAAAAACTTATAAAAAAAAACGAAACTGAAATCAAAAAGAGCAAGTTAGCTTAATGTAAACAAATTGCTATAAAAAGTAATCCAAAACCAAAATTAGACGGAAATAAATTGATTTTAGTACAATGATTGAAATAAGATGCATTTGTCACAAAAATGCCTATAAAATAAATATTAAAAAAAAAAATCAAAAAACGTACATGTGTATTTTAAAAACAGTTAAAAATTAAAAAAAAAAATATACTAAAAAAAGTTTAAAAAATTAAAAAAAAATACTAAAAAAAGTTTAAAAAATTAAAAAAAAATACTAAAAAAAGTTTAAAAATTAAAAAAAAAAATACTAAAAAAAGGTTAGAAGATTAAAAAAAAATACTAAAAAAAGTTTTAAAAAGTACAAAAAAAAATATAAAAAATTTAAAAAACACTAAAAAAAATTTTAGTCAGTTCTAAAAAAACTATTTGAAAAAAATACAAAAAATAAATAAAAAGTATTGGAAAAATTGCTATAACAAAGAATTCCAGCAAAAAATTTAATTGGAATTAAAGAAGTTGAAATTAACAAAACTTATAATAATAAGCAAAAATATAACAATAATATTGAAAAATATTAACCATTTGTTTTTTTTTTACTTTACTGCAAAATTTATAATTATTAGACAAAAATTAAATGTGAGGTTTGCCCAAAAAAAAGCTGTGCAAATTTTCATATTATCACTCAACCGGCTTACAACTTTGTGTTTACTTGTAAGCAAACCAAATATACAAAATTTTGCGTAAACCCGTAAATTGCATATGTAAGCCGAAATAAACATCGCTCACATGTATGTTTATACAAAATTGTGTATGAAAAAATAAATACACAAAGCAGTTAAAAATTGTTGCGTGACCACTTTGTATTGTATGTGTATATATAAATATATATGTATATATGTGACCACAATTTGAGTGCCGGCTTGACTAGTCAATGACTTTGCAACGCTAGAATTGTTTATGCATACTAGTTTTGGTTAAACACAGTCTGTATTTATACTTACTTCAGCGCATTTACATAGTAACCGGTTGTGATAATTGCATTCACCACCACATCGACAGGTATGTAATCCATGATAATGGTCGGATCTAAAGGTAAACGACGCAAAATGCCACGCGACGCGCCCATAAAGAAGCCTTGTGGGCCATTCTTTGAGATAGTCCAACCGGGTATTGGTTGCTTCCAGGCGGCAGTGACTGGTTGCGCACAACAAAATGGAAATATATTAATAATTATGTATCAGAATGCTAGCATGAATTGTAAAAAATATGAAAAAAAAAATTAGGATTTGTTTTATTTATTTTTAGCTTACTCATGCTAGGTCGCACAATGCCGCATGGAAAACGTGAGGCCACATTGGCCACTTCGTGTTCGGCCAAGTGTTTGGTGAACGTGTACGTGTTGGGATGATCTTTCAACAACCTAGTGATAACGAGTTTTCATTTTAGTGCATTTCAAATTAATTATACTTTACAAAAACAAACAAAACATTAATTAAAAACTTGGCTTACTTGGGCTCTAACTCCTTGAGCGCCTCATCGCTTAGCGTTTCAGCCAAATGTATCACCTTTTCGGGATCATCTGGAGCTGGATATAATTTTTCCTCCACTTCAGTGATATACGAGTTTACATAAGCGCTGGAGACATGTACAAGTGCCTGGAGAAAGCGCAGAAGAGAAAGAAAAAATAGATATACATATATAAAATCATATTTCATATATTATATAAATATGCATTTGTGTATTGAAATCGTATCGCCACAAAAGTTGAAAAAAAAAAAACCGTAGCTTCGGCTGCACCGCAGATTATACCCTTCACAGATGCATTTCTCATAGCAAAAAAGGGGTATAAAAAGATCTTCTTGATTTTGAGCGGCAAATGAGCAGCTTTTCTTGGGGAGAAAAGGATGTGTGCAAAATTTCAGCACGATATCTCAAAGGCTGAGGGACTAGTACGCCTATATACAGACGGACAAATCGACTCATCTCATTCCGCTGATCATTAATTCTATATACATACTTTGTAGAGTCTTCGCTTATACCAGCTGAGTGTTACAAAATTCGTGACAAACTTAATATACCCCATTCCCTACTCACCTCCAATTTGTTCAGTTGCTTACACAACTCCACCACACGTCGTGTACCTAATAAGTTAATATTTGTGGTCTCTTTGAGTGACTGAAAGAAATCCAATGTGGCTGCAGAGTGGAATACCACATGCACATTATCGATCAACACCTGACGTTCCGTTTCAGAGATGCCCAAATGCTCTTGACCCACATCACCTTCAATGGGCACAATCTTATCGAAACGCTTCTCATCGATTTTCAGTTCTTTGAACTTGTCGAAAACAGAATTCTTGCGTATGTCTTCTAAGCGTTGTGCCACCGTCTTGCCTTTTTTGGGACGCATCAGCAGGTAGATGGTGCCGATTTCGGGTATATCACGCAATAGCTTTTCGACAATGGTGACCCCCACGAAACCAGTGGCGCCGGTAATGAAGACATTTTTGCCTGTATAAAATGCTTTGATCGGGGAAGCGAGATTGCTGCAATAAAAAGAAGAGAAGAAGAAAGTTTATGAGACGAAAATGGTTAGAAAATGCTAAGTAGCTTGTGAGTTTCTATTTTTCCATGTCCTGAAAAAATTGGTACTTCATACACATCACTAGGTTTTAAGCGATTATCACTTGAATTAGTTCTTAAAGCTTCAGAAATGTAAAAGATTTTAAAGCTTTTGAGTGGTGAGTTTTCAAGCATATACAAGTTAGGCACCAGCTATTAAGGCGCGATCAAAACCCACGCTCTCTAAAAACCCCCTAATAAAGAGAGAAGCGTAATTGTGGATACACCTAAAAGTAGTACATCGAATCGGCCAATTTGTGAGGCGCCTCTGATCGCAGTTTATCACTCTCTAACTGTGTTACTTGATTTAAAACAGACTTACTCCAGAACAACGTTCTTTCGAGATAATCGCCCAGCAGCGTCGGTAATTCGAGCAACCATGTTTCGGTTTCGCACTATGTTTACTGTAGTGGGTAATGCGCAACCTAAGAGACGCCGTACAGTGCCCACCAAAGAATTTATACCTGCTTCGAAGCAGGGTATCGAAGAAGACCCGTGCGCATCCACTTTATGGAAGATTTTGGTTTCCGTGCTTGCAAAATCTAACTCGTGCAAGAATTTTAGCCCAACGAGATGGCCACGGACTTCGATTTTCACAAAAAACATTTGTTTCAGCGATGAAGCTCAATTCTGGTTAAATGGGTACATTATTAAACACAATTGTCGCATTTGGAGTGATGATAATGCACAAGTTGAGACGTTGTTATATTCTCAAAAAGTCACTGTTTGGTGTGCTGTATGGGCAGAGGGAATCATTGGACCATATTTCTTCAAAAATGAAGTCGGCCATAATGTTAGAGTCTATGGGGAATGCTACAGCGCCATGATTACTGACTTTTTCGTGCCTGAATTGATGGATGAGGATGTTGATGTTGACGATCTTTGGTTCTAACAAGACGGCGCTACATGCCTTACAGCCAACGAAACAATCAACGAAACGTTTGGTAAGCGCATTATCTCGCGTCTTGGGTCTGTGGCGTGGCCTCCAAAATTGTGCGATTTAACACCGCTGGGCTATTTCTTATGAGTTTAACTGAGGTCCCTTGTTTACGCAGGTAAGCCCGAGACGATTCACGACTTGAATGATAATATTCGTGGCAAAGTGCTAAAAGTGGTCAAAAATTGGGTCTCTCGGCTGAAATTTATTCGAGCCAACCGTGACGGTCGCTTGTCCGAAATAACTTTTAAAACCTAATGGCAAACTCACCCACTTATAATAAAGCTAAATTCTTGGCCATAACATTAAATAAGATGAGTTTTATTTCTGCTTGAAAACCACATGTATAAAAAAAAAACCCTTTATATAGCTGCAGGCAGTACAGTAAGCTACAGGGAACTTAGTATGAAATGCCGAAAGTTATGAGCAAGTGCTTCAATCAAACCGAGTCAATAAATCTTTACAACAGCAACACACATACAAACGTAAGTACATATATAAGTATGTATGTACATAGTCATAAATATTAAATTTGCTTACGTAAAAGCGATTTTGTTGCGCTTGATTCAACACAATTAGTTTGCTATAATTTTCAATGATAATTATTGTATAATATATAATATATTGCATATGTACAATATATTAGTGAGAACGTGAAAATGATATCCATCTAACGCTAACATGTTACGGGCCGAGCCAACTTTAAGTTAACGATCAACTGAAACCGTCCAAAATTTTCCGCTTTGAAATTATGTAAATATGATTGCTAAATCGAGATTCGTAAGCATTTAAAATTTTGAGTGAAAGTTACCGCTTGAAAAGCTATTAAAGAGCTGTCTGTTGATATATAATAAAATATATGCACATATATGTATGTATGTATATCTATTCATATTTATTTGTGCGTGAAGTGAATTTATATGTAAATATATATTTACATATATATTATATAACAAATTTTGACGTTTTTATGTTTTCAGAGCTTTTTATGCTGCTCAACTCTACCTCTTAGCTATTCAGTTATATTTTTTTCTAAAAAAAATATATACACACATATATAAAAAATGTTCGGTTTTTTTATTTTTCCTCTATTGGACAATTAAGCCTTTTTTACGCCACTTGGACTTAGATTGAAGTTCAAATGCCAGTCGTTGTGTGTGGCTGGCAAGACAGGTTTTTAGTGTTTAAACAAAAAAAACAACAATAAATTGCTTGCTTATAAATTTTTGATTACATAGTAGGTATTATCTTGTTGTGGTTGCTGTTAAATATTTCAATATGTTGTTGCATTGATTATACTAGCCATAAAAAGGCGTTTAAACGTTACGAAGCTCGTCTTCAGAGGCTGCTAAGCGCAATAGCAAACGTAGGAAAAGAGCTAATACGACTTAAAAATTTTTTTGCGTTTTAATTTCGGCTTCAGCTTGGATTAGAGAGCTACATCATATATTATGTACGAGAGCATCTCATTTCGAATAAAATATTTAGTACAAAATGGGGCACGAATGGATGAACTAGTTGTATGTCAGGTGAATGATCGTTCCTACGAAATTTGTGGTTTCAGACCTCATTGATTGATTTTATTAAGTTATGGCTAAAACAAAGAGTTATGGCTTCCTTAAAAAAACTTTGATCGTTCAGTTTGTATGGAAGCTATATGCAATAGCGATACGATATCGACCGTTCCGACAAATGAGCAGCTTCTTGGTAGGGAAGGGACGGGTACAAAATTTCAGATCGATATTTCAAAAACTGTGAAATAAAATTTGTTGTTAAGTGGGACTTTAGTAGTCTAATGCGTTGTTTAAGCGACTTTAACTCATTGTATTGTATTGGGTTTGAAAACTAGCAATTGTTTTGTAGAGAATTTTTTTGTACCAAAAATCGGTGCAAAATTGAGTTCGTGGACACAAAACTTTTCTGGGTCAATACTAGACTACACATTGTTTTTGTTTTTTTTCAGATAATTGGATGGAGTGAAGCTTTGTATGAAAAAGGCGAATATAAGACAAGATTTATGAAACAACCAATAGCCCAGAAGCGACTAGCTTTGACCTGTATGAAAGGAATTGTGTTCCATCAGGACAACGCGAGGCCACACACATCGAGAAAGAGAGAGAGAGTCAGAAGCTCTGAGAGTTTGAATGAGAGGTTTTTAATCATTCTACTTATAGGCCAAAAAGTGATTCGGTACCAGTTGCTATCTACGACGAATGATTTTGCTGGTGAAAAATTCGTCTCGAGAGAAGCTTTTGAACATTGACTGTCCCAGGTTTTGCTTATCAGTATGTTAATTTCTATGAATGGCATTATGCAATTACACTCAAAATGGCAACAAGTTATCGAACTAAACGGTGCATATTTGATATAAATCGGTGGCTAACTATGCTGAATAAAACCCTCAATTTGCTGCAAAAATAATCGATTTCTAGAGCTATTCTTAGTTCGTGACGTCATGAACGAAAGAAGCGCATAGATTTTTGCTATAAAAGTTTGACAGTTCGATTCGTTTATGCTGTATCGTGTCCATATAATTTCAGGTTCTTGGTCTAGTAAAAATTAGTTCTAGAAAACTAACCCCTAAACTTATGGGATACCGATCTTCTATTCAAGTTGAAATTAAACTTTTGGAGAACAAAAATTTACTGTTATCTTCTTTTTATAGTAATGGCTCTTAAGACGAAGTCTACGATTACAGTTTAAACTAAGCGATAAGTTGTAAAGCTTCACAAAGCTGACTTTAAATTGCGCAAACTCAACTAATTCGCAGTTATAAGCTCTGTTTGCGTTGGTTTATAAGTTGAAATACATTTTTCATCTTCTTTTAAGTTGGTTTCTTGAACGCTACAACTGTGTTACATAAGAATACCTGCTACTGTTCATGTAAGTAATCGATTTATCGGTTTAATATTGCGAAATCAACATTGAGTCGGTTAAGTAATGGATTAAAAGCAACAGAGTTATATACATATATATGTGTGTTTACCCACATACACGCATACATAGATGTATTGTATGTATAGTCTGAAAAAAATTTAGAAAAAGCTTACTTCCTTATATTACAAATAAATTGCGTGCTTGCTGCACACTTAAATGTGTGCACCATTAACTCTGCAACCAAGTCAAGCAATGCGCATGCGCAAACGCGGAGCTACAAGTGAAAGCAGAAAGTCGTTACCCAACCAAGCGCTAATGCTTCGAGCAAAAATTATTAATAAACTGGCAAGTAACTAACGGCGAGAGTCAAACGGTAGCAATAATAAAAACATACACACACACAAAGCGAGTGTGTATCGCTCAATCAGAAATGTAAACAGAAGCATTGCCACAAAACACGGTTCATAGCAACCGATCATGCGCTCATGCATGCAGATGCGACCAACGAAGAAACTGATATTCGTGCGGCAGATTTCTGGCTTTTGTTGTGAAAAGAGTGGCTTTGAGGCGAATGCTGTTGAGCTACAAACCTAGTCGATAAGCAGATAAGATAGTGCTCTAGGCTGTACATAACTGTTGTTTGGCTGGGTTTTCATCTATTTTACAGCAACAAATATTGTACCGTGCTACACTTGCCCGACTAACGGTGTGCTGTATTAATTAGTGGCTTTTGTGTGGTGTAGTCTAATTAGCGTGGAAATAATATACGAATTTATGCTTGTAAATTATAATTATTATTTTTTGAGTTTCTTTTATTAAATTTTAGTGGGAGGTTGCCGTTCGTTAAAAATCCATATGTGCAGATCTGCATGCGTGACTCCTATTACTTATATGTGTGTACATTAGGGTGGAGCGAATTTTTTTTGTTTGTTTAGCCTGAGGGTTAAATTTGCATATTTTAAAAAAAGAAAATTTTTGGAATAAAAATTTTTTTAACATCATTCAAAGTAAAGTTTCGAGTTAAAATTTTTATTTCGTAAACAAAATTTTGATAAGTGTTCTAGAAGCTGCGGAGAGTCTTCTTTCTGGCCAATTAAAAGTTATCAACCTAAAAAAATTTTTTGTGGTTATTATTCGAGTTTTAAAAAAGAAGCCTTAAACGAAAACATGCTTTCCTTAAGCGTTAAAATAAATTTTGAGTCAAAAACCGTCAAATTCGGTAATTTTTATATAAATATGAAGAGTTTAAGACAAAACATATTTTTCTCTGTACAAAAAAAATTTTTACGCGAAATTTACTTTAAAAGTCAGTGGTCCGCCTCTAGATGTAAAAATTTTTTTTTTCCGAAAATTTTACTTTTTATTATCTGCAAACTTTACCCGGGCTAAGCAAAAAAAAATTTTTTTTTTTCCATCCTAATGTTCATATGTATACAGATGTAGACGTACTGTATTTCTAACATTTCCTTTTTTCTTCTGTAATGACTTTTCTTGTAGCTTATTTAATTTACTTATTTATTTACTCGTAGTTACATATTTAATTACAAAAAACAAAAAAAGTCGAAGCAATGCAGCGGAGTGTGAATTTAGTCTGCAGTTAGTCTTGTTATGTTAATAAATTACGAAAAAAACTAAAAGCAATTAAAATTTTGATACTTTACTATAATCAATGCCTTTCCCCAATTACGCTCTACTTGTCGAAAAAATTTAACAAAGTGACGAATCTAGCTCGTAAGGTATGTAAACACGAATTTTAGGCTATCAGCGAAATGTCTGATACTCTTGAAATTCATACAGATGTCGTGTTTGGGACGAGCATTAAGAATTTGTCATTCTTTTTGCGATCCTATAGTGAGCCCTGTGAGTGAGTTTCTTTTGTTTGATTTTCGTTTTTAAAAATGTATAAACTAGGTTGATATTATTTTTTGAAATCTCTATATAACAAATGAATGCCATCTCTTCGTTTTACTTTTATTTGAACATCTCTGTTGATATTTAAGAGATTGCAATGAAACTTTTGTTGTTTATTTTACCATTAATTTTTGTCATTTGGTAACAAAAATATGTGCGATCGTTTCACATTCATGTCCGAAAACGAGTACTTTAAGCAACCTTATTATACTCTCCACACATTTTGTACAACTGTTAAAGATTTTTCACCTAACGGTTTTTTGTAACATTTAAAAGCGTATGCAGACTTTCAAGAGTCACGAATCGAACAGACAATTGTTGTAACCTACACAGACTGGCATAAACAAGTACAGAGCGAATAGCAAGCATTTATACCACTTCAATAAAGCAAACACATACCATATTCTCTTGTGTTGAATTCAACTGTTGTTACAAAGCTCACAACCAGCGAACAGAAAAGTGGTGTATCGAAGACCGCTGTTGAAATAAACAGCGGCACGAGATGAGTTTGTTTAGCGATAACTGTCTGCTCGCTCATTATCTGTCAGTGCAGCGGCTAATTTAAATAAAAAATTGAGGCATCTTAATGAAACTTGACATGCAAGTTCCTTGGCACTCCTAGCTTTATTTACATCTGTTTACTTTGTAAACTATTCATATGCCTATCACAATGGGGGGAGATTGCACTGGCTTTGTTAACGAAGCTTCTATACCAAGTTCTGATCACTGATCAAATTTGCCCCTACTGGGTATTTAGAATGTGCGCGAAAACCGAATTTATAAAATTTTGTCTCTCTTATAGGCACAACTTTTTTGATCTCCATATGTCAATTAGTGTGTGTTCAAGAGCTGTTGTACAAAATTTTTATAATGGAAAAAATTAAACAACGAGTGTGCTTGAAATTTTGTCCAATTTCCAATGAAATCACGGCTACGGAATCGTGGAAAATATAGCAGAAGTATTTTGGGGAGTCTACTTTATGAAGAACACAATTATATGAATAGCACAAAGCATTCAGAGAAGGTCGTAAAGTCATCAAAAAACTTGCCTCATCCACCTGTGGTCCAACCACTTCTGTTAATGACGATAGCATCAACAAAAAAGTTAAAGAAACAGTGCTGGTAAATCTTTTTGTTGACATAAGAGAGATAGCTGAGGATCTTAACATCTCTTATGGTTCGACTCAACACATTTTGGTTAATATTTGGGTACGAAGCGTGTCAAAAGCTAGACTCATATCAGATAATGCTCGACTAGACCTGAATTTTTTGGAAAAACGTCGTCAAGTTGAGGTCGGAATTTTCAGAAATGTAGCTAAAATATGTTTATCAAAATAAAAATATTCGGTTTAGGTTCCTATCCTATCTACATTATATTCAGCTCGTACTATAACTGTCAGTAATAACTAAATGAGAAAACCTTTAAAATTTGTGTGAAACTTCAAAAAGAATAGTCTAAAAAAGATGCAGAGTAATGTGTATGTTATATAAAATAAGCCGGCATTTATTTATTTATAATATTAGGTAATTATAAAAGTGATTATTTTAGCAAAACGCAAAATTTGAAACGTTAGTGCTTCACTCAACAGGAACTAAATACCTTAATGAGTCTATTAAAATAGAGAGGAACTTGAACTTATAAGGAAATAAAAATGAGATTTAATGTCAATTGTTTCGAGTGCCATGCGTTTAATAGTTCTATAAATATACATATGTAATTAGTAAATAAGTAATAATGTGCTTTAGCTTGCAGTTAAAAACCATGTCACTCATTTGCGAGCTTTCTATTATTACTTGAATGCTCTATTATGCTAGACTAAAAAATTTAAAATTATTTTTCTTGAGAGATATGAGTCGTTTGGCATGGAAAAGAAAATCTCATAATCAAATTGTACACGTTTAAAAAAGACATGCCTTCATTGCCTTAAACCTTTCGAATTATTGGAGGCCGAACGCTAACAGACAATCAAAACAAGCACTAGTAAAACAAAATTTCAGGAGGTGTATGCGGGGTATAAATATCTAAATCGTTAACTTCTCTCTGTTCTAATTTCTTATATAAAAATTCAATACCAATATACCATATATTTCGAAATAATAAATTCATTAAATTGATAGCTGCAAAATGAGAGAATCCTATATCTGGAAGGAGAACTCGCTTAAGTTCGTTAACAAGTCAAAATATACGAGGCGTGCGTCGACCATTACTGGTGTCGAGATGTGGGTTTATAAATACGACATCGCAAATGTCGAACAGTCTAGCGAATGACGCTCCAAAAATGAGCCGAACCCCAAAAAACCACGTCAAAGTCGGTCAAAAATCAAGGTGATGCTAATCGTTTTCTTTAATTAGCGTGGTGTGGCTCACTATGAGTTCGTTCCAAAGGGTCAAACGGTCAATAAGGAATATTGCTTGGCCGCTTTGAGGTGTCTATGTAAAGCAATTTGTCGTAAACGAGCGGATTTGTGCGCAGAAAATTCATGGATTTCTCACTGCGGTAATGCACCGTTACATTCTATCATGATCGTGACGGAATTTTTGGCCAAACACGAAACGATAGCCATCGCTTAACCATCGCATTCGCCAGATTTGGCACCCAATGACTTTTTTCTGTTTTCGAAACTAAAAAATACACTTCGGAGAACGCAGCATGACTGCATTGAAGCCATCAAAAGTCATGCGCTCAAGGGACTGAAGGCCATTCCAGTCGAGGCGTACTGCTCAAGGGACTGAAGACCATTCCAGCCAAGGCGTACTGTAACAAGTGTATGGAAAATTGGTTTAATCGGTCTCATACTTGTATTGGCTAAAAAAAAGCATATTTCCAAGGCGATATTAAAAATTTGTTTTAAAATACATGAAAATATTATTTTTATTTGTGGTTGAATTTGTTAATAAAGGTTTTATCAAAGAATTTGTGCTGGAAATTAATTTAAATAGTCTTATTTCCAAAATTTTCATTTAATATGTAAATTTAATTCATCGAAATTTGAAATGTCACGTGAGTTATTATTTATTGCATAAACGTATGTATTTAGCTATATTATTCATTCTAACAGCTGTTTGAATAACCTTATCATGCATTTGATCTAAGTATGTACAATCAATCAATTGTATATTCGAGAAAGAGTGAAGTGACACAATTCTCTTTGAGAACTTTAATCTCTTTTTTCTGCATTTTTACCGCTCAACACTTTTTTCGAAGCATGAAATTGAACGTCAATTTGCCGGTTGATAATAAGAGTTCATGGAATGAAATCTGGTCGGCAAAAAGTAGTGTAAGTGTTTTAATTGTGTAATTGTTTATATGCAATACAATACATCTGTATAACTGTGTGTATAAATATATATATGTACATACATATGTGCATACTAAATCGCCAACTCAATTTACTTTAATTATTTTTAATTTCAATATGAGACACTATAACTTCGCAATGGTGTTTTTTTACCGCAGTTGCTGACTGACCTTGATGCACGATGAACTGCGCCGTACGAGCGCAGCTACAACCTAGAAGGCCATGCAGTCGAGAACGTGTTGCAAGCTGTTTTCGGAAATTTATTACACACAGTTAATTACCGAAAATAGCCATAAGAGCAGAACTGGTAAATACATACATAAAGGTACATATGTATATGGTATAAGAATAATGTCTGTTGTTGAAATTACAACAACAAAGCAATATTACCAAAAAGAAATTTAGTGTACTATTAAATTATTTACCGCCCACAAGCGCGCTAAATAAACAAGCTTAAAAAACGTAAAAGTATTCATAATTTTTACTCAATATGTGCAAAGAGAGATAAGTGAATAATACCAAGTGCCCAACCCAACAATAAACAAAACTCCAACAAGCACAAAGCACAACAATTAGAATTAAAGAAAAAAATTTTATATTTCTACAACTTACTCGGTCATTTTCGTGCTGTTGCCGCTGCTTGATCTATAAAATATGCGGTGTTGTTGTTGTTTTACCAATGTTTTTGCTGTTACGCTCTTTTAGTTCACTAATCTCAATTTACTAGAGTATTAAAACATGCGAGACTTTCACGTCTCGTAATCAAACCTAAAAGCAAACTCCAAGTAAATATCTTTATACATATGTACATGCATACAAAATATGTATGCATGTATATATGTGTGTATGCATGTCTTTCTCAAGAGCTCGTCAAAAGAAGATTTCTAGACGCGCATTCTTTTCGGTTTACACACATCCATATACACTAATAAGACTTCACTGTTAACCGCCTTTTTTTATTAACACTTGTTTTGTTTGTTGTTGTTTTGTGCTGCTACAACTGCCGCAGTATTGTGTGTGAATCAATTGGGCAAATATTCAGTGCGCTGCGTCACACAAAAATACAACCGGTGTATAGCAGACAATAACAAAAAAATAAGCAACAATTCAAGAAATAAAAATAAAATGAGTTCAAAAAAAAACCCGAATGTATTTATGACTTTTACGTCAAACTCTTTTCAATTGCATTTCGTCTCATTTGTTGTTGTATAACGGAGCCCGTATATTTTTGTACGCGCAGCTACTGCAGTATTTTCTTTATTATACCTTTTTTTTATCTACACTGCGGCAATATAAATAAGGTCTAACTTGAGATTCACGCGTTGATTCGCAGTAACGATAATTTTATAGCGCACAAAATATACAACCGACGCGTTTCGCGACCAAAGTTGAACTGAAGCGGCGCAAATGACTACGACAAAGTTTTAGTAGCAGAAATTCGTTGGCGCAAATGGTAGCATAATGAATTTGAAAGCTTTGAAAAAAAGTAGTGGATAACAAAAAAAAAAATAAACAAACAATGTATGGACGAAGCTTATTTTATTTGTTGGTTTATGGATATACTATGATAGCGTATAAAATTATATTTTGACTTTATAGTTGGGCGTGAAAAGTAAACTTAAATCATAAATTTATAGCAAAAAAAATTTAAGTTTTATGTTTAACTTACTGATGTAGTTGGAACTTTAGAGAAAATATAAATAAAGAAAATAATAACAATAATAAAAGTAATAATACTAAAAGCATTAATAGTAATAATAAAAACTTATAGAAATAAAAGAAAAAAAAATAAGGAATATTATATACAATATAAATATATATATTTTATCTAAAACATAATAGTCATAAATAAAAAGACCGGTAAATAATATTAGAGAAAAATATTAAGCATAGAGAAGGATAGAATTTTTATTAGTGTTAAATAAAAATAATTAAACTATTATTAATGTATTATAAGTATCAACGAAATATTCTCAGAGAACGTATATAATATACATATGTTCTCTCATATTCTACTCCAGTGGCATGCATTTCAGATAAGTTTTGAAGTATCGTAAAAGACAATTAAAATTTGTATAATCCATTTTTCTATTAGTTATTTATTAACATTACAAGAATACAGGAAATAAACAAAAATACAATAAGTTACAGATTTCAAAAATTAGCAGCTGATAATGTCGGGGTTTCAAAAATTGGCACTTGACCCTTTCCACGATTTCAAATCTAGCAATCTGAAACCAAAAAAAAATTATTAATCTAGAATAATGTTGCAATGTCTGGAACTACGGAAAGTTTGAAATTTTTTTGGACGAAATGGCAACTGCCTGAAAAAAAAAAAAAACAATTTTTATACCACTTTGACTTGACTCTTTGGAATTTTTTAATAATAGTTTAAATTTAGATTTGGGCATATGGCCAGTTCTAGACATAGACAAGTCTATATAGGCAACTCTCTAAAAATTTCATATAAATCGCTCTAATAGAATCTGAGAAATGGTGGCTACCGTTTTAAAAGTTTCGAGAAAAATGCGTTTAAAGTTTCCGGTCAAACCGGTTTGGATGCTGAGTCAGCAAAATACCTATATCTCCGAAAATAATTTGAATTTTGAAAAATCCACTTGTAGACATATTCTTGAATTATTAAACTTTAAAAATATATAATAAGAAAAAAATCGATATTATTTATACCTAGACTAGTTAAGGGGGTATAACTCATTATGTACTTATTTAAATTTATTAATAGGAAAATTAGTGCGAATTTCTTTAAAAATATTTATTTAAATTTCATTGAAATGTGTTTTTCAAATATAAATATATTTTTTGGCACTTTTATTAATACTAAATATTTCAGTAAAGTACAAATTGAAATCAGAGCTTTGTGTAGCTACGAAATAAATAACAATTAACTCTGCTACTAAAAAATACAAAGCTGTTATTTCGCTAACAAGTGTTGCATACGTTTAGGCGCTTATGAATGCATACTTTTGTGTAACATCTGTATTTAAGACGTTAAATTCAAAAGAGCTAAAGTAAAATCTTTACTATAGTTTATAAAGTTTAATATATTGTAGAAGGAAGGTTCAGAAATGGATGAAATCGATTCATTTTCTAACATTCTTTCATTAATATAACGATTTCAATAAGTCAAATTGACTTTATAATGGTTATTTATTATTATACCTTGTAGTTATGAAGCGTAATCAAATCGGTCAGGTATATTGATGAAGTTATTAGCTGAGGTAGTCTGAAAACGGAACTTCTTCGCCTAATTGGAATTCCAAAATAAAAATCTTGTTTGCTATTCACTGTTTAGTATTCCTTCCTGAAATTTGGCTTCATTGTACAAAGCAATGCAATAATCTTCGAAGAAATTCTTCAGATCGAATAACTATAGCATATAGTTGCCATACAAACTGACCTATTCATATCAAGTTGCTGTATGCGATTTTTTTGTATTTGTGAAGGATATTACAGCATCGGTGCAACCGAAGTTAACGTTTTTCCATATTTTATATATTTTTTGAACTATTTTTCTATGCTATACTTCATTATTTTTCGACTACAGAAAAAAGGCACCGAGTCATATAACCTCTCATATATTCAAATAAAAAAGAACAACTCATCTCAGTTTCTCCATATTAAGATATATAATTATATTTATTATCCGTAAATTGCACAGCATACAAATTTATATATATATATATATATATATACATACTCGTGTATATGTAGTTATGCTAAAAATAAAGCTTTATCTGTTCGCTTTTATGGAACTTATTTTGTTGTTGCTAAGAAATCATATATCTAGCAAGCTATTCGTCGTTTTTTGTTTCGTTTAATATTTGTAACTGCAAAAATTATTATTTATATCTATACTGATATAATTGTTTTGTTTTAAACGTATTTCCTGAAAAATATTTAATTTGGTTTACGTACATTTTAAGAAAATATCTTTTATTGTGTGTGGTCTTAAGAGTAATTCGTTTGCTTTACTATAACTTTTGTACTTAAGAAACAAAAGTAGTTGAAATAAGTTTTTTTATACCATGTTTACATATTATATATACACTTTTTAGTTAAATTTTATCTTTATATGTGTGTTGCTAAGCAAATTGCTTGCTTCCCTTGACTTCTAGCAATGACTTGTACTCATAACTATTTTGTTATCATTAGTTAAAACCATTAAAATTAACAATTAAACTACAATAGACGCCCACAAATATTTAGGTATATAGTGCACGACTTTTAAGACGTGATTTATAATGTTATAAAAAATACAAGGCTTTGGAAAATTCACCTAAACAAAGAAGTGCAATATTCTTCGCTTGTAGTGTGTAAAATAAGAGCTTGCGGTTTCTGCTCGACTAAATTGCACTCCTTTTATTCACAACCACACCAGGAAACCCCAAATGGCCAGCGCTAATGCCAGTCCAATGGTTAGGCCGAAGAGAAATGCGCAAATGCCGAAGATAAAGAGGAAGAGCACCAAGAAGCCAAGGTAGTGTATGATGTTGAAACTGTAAATTTGTGAGAGGGAGAAAGGAAATTGAATTACTTTTGTTATATAATAAATATCAGTAGTTGTGTTAAACTAAGGGTTAGGAGGAAAAAGTAAAAAATAAATTGTCACAAAAGTGCATAAGCGAAAAGCAAAGGCAGCGCCAAGACTTCAAATTTCATACTATTTCTCTTGCTACGCTTTTGTGACGTCAGCAAAACAGCTGTTGATATCAAACTGACTGAGCACCACTATGCAAGTAACAGAAACAGCATAATCTATTTTGTACACTAAATTGTTCATAAATTATATACTAACACTTTCCAATACATGCGATGCCAGTCGGTGGTTTCGGCCGACTCCTTAAAGTAGAAACGTCGCAAACCGATCAAACAGCGATCTATGAACTCGGACCAGTCGCACGTACTAGCATCGAAGTTATAACGCTTTTTGTCACTCTCATGCATCAGCGTCATTATGCGCAAAGCATTCTTTAATGAATAGCGAAAATCTTTGCCCAGAAAATAGTCGAACGCTTTGGTGCCCTTGTGGAAGACGCGCATATATTCGAGGGCGCTGTTGAAAATAAGAATTTTAAATTTTATATTTTTTTTGCACAAAAAAATATATATAGGCATTGAATACTCACGTATGTTGTGGCATGCCAATACCGAACAGTTTCTCCGGTATGGTATAAGCGAGCGCGGGCAATACGTGAAAGAGATAAAAGAAGACATTGTAACGCCAACCGTTGCGCAATTTTGCACTTGGCTTCCAAACAAAATTATTGGGTGGATGCCGTTTCACGCTCTCATTAATAATAACACCAAATTCACGTAGTGTTAGCGGGTTTACTTCGCCCGATGTACAGTGTATCACTTCGGGTTGCTTTAATGGATATGTGCCCGCATACCAGCCCATAACTATTGAAGAATTTATCACAAAATCGCATGGTATAATATCGAGGACAGAGGCAGCACGACCGGACATAGTGCGGAAGATACCCTTCACGAAACCGGCCAAAAAGCCGAGATGACCGGAATTCGCATTGCCGACCCAGCCTTTCAACGGGTGCTCCCAGGTGCCGTAAACTGTGTGGTTGAAGAAGATAAAGTTGTAAAAATATATTTTAATTGTAGCTAAAATTTAATTCAAAAGTTTAGTAGATTAATATAAAATTCATACAAATGCGTTCTTGGTAAAACAAAATATAACCTCACAAACTTTTCCTTCGGCAGTTGTGATTAATTTTGCTTCAAATAATTTCCAAACCTGTCCAATCTGTGATCGACCATCTGTAAGATCTCCGATAATGATTGACCCAGAGCATAACTAAGGCTTATTATTAGCTTGGAACTCGAAACCGCATCATACCGGATATAACGTACTTTTTAACGTATTTCATTGAGCTTATTAGTAACGACAAATATTTCGCTTTATTTCGACCTTAGGATAGTTTATGGGTTAAAAAAATTGGATGGTTTCTAGCTACAGAACTAAAGAAAATTATATCTGTGACAATTTATCGATTTCTTATTTCTTCTTTCAGCAATTACGATCGGCTTTCTGAAGTTAATCGACAGCATATACAACAATACTTTAAAGGTATCTAAAATATAGTTGTGTTCTAGACTTAATTCCATATAGAACTTTAATAGATATAACGTTTAGCAATTAGTTGATCTAGCGCACCAGCTTCGATATCTTAACTTTGGGGGGTGAATTCGTATGCAGCTTTTGTTTGGATAAAAGCGTAATGTAGACTTTCGAAGATCGTTTTCAAAAAAGCTGGGCTTAAGCGAAAGAAATGGAACCGGATTTAAACTCAACGAAGTACTATCAACTCTCCAGTCCCCATCAACCACGTTCCCAAGACAGTAGGGACGTAACCGGAAAGGATACGGTCTTATTCAGACCAATGTCTGGTTTTATGTCTATAGGGTTATGTATATTAAATGCTAATTTTGTTACAATACTAACCATTTTTTTTATACTATTTATTAGGTAGACAACTTTAAGCTGGCGGTTATTGAACCAAACTTTAGCGTTTTCTAAGAAATATAAAAACAACAAGTAAGGAAGGGCTAAGTAAGGATGTAACCGAACATTTTATACTCTCGCAAAGTCAAATGGTATACTCGTTTGAGAATTCTTTGTGGATTGAAAGATATTTTCGGTAGAAGGTCAACTATAGGCACTGGGGTCCACATATTCAGTACCTAGGGGCTTGAACAGTTTTGGTTTGATTTAGACAATTTTTGGTCAAAAGGTGGCATACTTTAAACGTATTATTCACGCAAAGTTTTACCCCGATATACCTCATTTTCAGTATGCAGAAAGGGAAAGAATCAGATGGACTATAATATAGAAATATGAAAAGAACGTTATGCACCGAATTTGGTTGAAATCCGTTGAGCAGATCTCAAGATATGGGGTTTCACCTAAAAGTGGGCTGTGCCACGCCCACTGTCTAATTTTGAACGCGGTTCCTATAAAGTCATCTTATACCATCCCAGAGATAAAATTTAATGTCTCTGGCGTGTTTAGTGCTTGATTTATCGCGCTTTTAGTAGTTTTTAACAGTACCGTTATATGGGGAGTGGGCGGAGTTGCCACCCGATTTCAACTATTACACTGTAGGTAGAGGTTCTAAAAACATTGGCTTCTAGTGAATTTTGTTATTAGCGGTTTAGGAGATATGCACATTAAACCTATTAGAGGCGGGACCACGCCCACTTAAAAAAAAAATTTAACTGCAGATGCCCCTCCCTAATGTGATCCTGTGTACCAAATAGCAGTCTTGTATCTTATTGCGGAGCTTAGTTATGGCAATTTATTTGTTTTTGATTAATGGCGCTTTGTGGGCGTGGCAGTGATCCGATTACGCCCATCTGCAATACCAACCGTCTTACGATACCAAGAAACATATGTACCAAGTTTTATAAAGATATCTCAATTTTTACTCAAGTTACAGCTTGCACGGACGGACGGACGGACGGGCGGACAGACAGTCACCCGGATTTCAACTCGTCTCTTCATCCTGATCATTTATATATATAAAACCCTATATCTAACTCGATTAATTTTAGGTGATACAAACAACCGTTAGGTGAACAAAACTATTATACTCTGTAGCAACATCTTGCGAGAGTATAAAAAATGCAAAACAGAGAAATTGGCAAAATAAAGTAGAATAAAAAGTAGAAAATCCATTAACCTAAAATTTTGTGTATAAATGCTATATCGTCATGGAGTTTTTATTATTTAACAGAACTCACGAAATTGACAAGATTTTAATATTTACTATGAACAATGCTCATTGCTAATGAATCAAATAGTCTATTTGTTGTATCAGTTGTTCTTATAATATATTCATGTTCTCTTATACTTACTAATCGATGGCCGCACAATCGCCGTCGGAAATCCCGACATCTCTGCCATTAATAAATTCTCCGATAAATTCTTTGTGAATGTATATGTATTGGGATGATCACGTATGATCTCTTTACATTTTTCATCTGTGAAATCTTCCCATTTAGCATCATCCTCAGCCATTTTCATCATATCGTATGGATCAAATTGTGATTTGTAGACTTCTTCGACAATTAGGCCGCGATTGTTGCTATTGCAAAAAGCGGTGGAGAGATAAACATAGGCGGAGAGGTTTTTCAATTTCTTTGCCAGTTCAATTGTGCGCATTGTGCCGGTTAAATTGGTCTTGATAGCCGTACGTAGTGGTGAATTGAATTTGATTGTGGCCGCACTATGATAGATCACATTCACCTTATCGATAAGTTCGTTTAATACAGCCTCGTTGAAGCCGAAATCCACTTCACTCAACTCGCCAACAACGGGTACGACTTTAGCGAGTGACTTCTCATTGAACTTTTGGAAGATCTGTGTTTGGGTAAAATGGAGAAAATTACTTATTAAATTTAAAGTAAAAATTCAAAAATTTGTTGTTAGATAAAAAAAAATGGATTAGCTAGAAGTTTCAAGCAGTTTTTCAGTGCAGTGAACTACTGAATTGAGTACAGCTGTTTAAGTTTCGTTAACTAAACGTTTTCTCAACTTAAAATACCGTTATTGCTATTTTTATGGTGGCGTTAGACAAAGAACTCTACAATCTAATAAATATAAATATTACAAAAGCATGGATGTGTTGTCTTTTTAGAGGATGAAAATCCTTCTTCCTAAGCAGATTTTACTTTTTTAAGTTATTCTACTGCTTCACAGAAACTACTGTGCTCTCTAGCTATCCTCTCCGAAATTAGTAATCTCGAGAAGCATAAATTAAGTTTATAAAAAGCCTCTATTCCAAGCATTCGGGCGAGTTTGTGTGCTAAAACATTGATTGGTTCCAGTTCCAATAAAGGAAGCCCCAAATCTTAAACCAGTCGGCTTTGATTTGGTAACCTAAACTTCTTATTTGATGTTTCTAAATGAAGTAGACTTCCATTAAATTTTTAGACCAAAAATAAACAGCAGGATAGAGATGCTGTATACTAACTTAAATAGAATTAGCGAGATCCAATGTATCTTTTAAATTTTAGCTACATAAGTATATGATTTCACCAAATATAACTGCCATATTTGATTCTGGTAAAAGCACCACAGTACAAGTCGAAGTAAAACTAAAGTGTAATTAATATAAATTTCGTCATATTTTAGTAGTTTGGGGTTTGGGAGAAGACTTAGTTTCCTGTTACCTTTTTTGCGTGAATGCCTTGATTTTGAATGGGGAAGATAGGAGATGCAGTTTTTTGCTATAAACTTTTTATTTAGGGTAGAAGATCTCTAAATACTGCCCCTTTTTTCAAGCAGACTCAGCAGTCATTAAGAAGGCGAATTTCAGTATTTTACCATGATAACTTACAAACGAAGTTAATTGCGAAAAGTTCGGCAGTTTTGAGATGCTCTTACAATTATTTTGGATCACTAGCTGGACAATTGTAAGGCTGTTAAGTTTATCCGATTAGGCATCTCGTAGAGAAATCTTTGGTTTACACATGAACTCGTTTGGTCTCACTGTGGACGCATGGATATTGCACGAGTAGGCAAGGTTTCAAGATTCTTCTACTCACAGATTTATAAGAAAAGATCAGTGATCACGTAGGTGTTGAAGCTGCAACTCTTGACGTTATAATGGATAATACCGGTCACCGTTATATTAGGAAAACAACAGTTATCTCACACATATACAAGCATGTACCTACTAAAAGAAAACAGCCGTTATATGGATTTAGTTTTAGTGGATTATTGCGTTTGGTTATAAGTAAGCCCAAAATATTATTTGTGATGTCAATATTTATTTGAGATCATTATACATATACGGTATGTGGTACAGTGGTGACGAACTTGGCAGTAACAAATAAATCAAGCTCAATCCAGTTAATGTTTTCGTTTGATGAACTGACAAATAGCAGTTTTTTTTACAATGACTTCAACCATAATGCTTTACGCACATTTTCCCATAATTTATTTTAATTATTTCCATTTTTTTGCACGGCCTACCGAACAGGTGGCAACGGCTTTCATTTAACAAAGCATTTTTATGACTTGTAAACTACATTTTTAGACTTTATTATGCAATTACATTTAAATTTATTACAACTATAAGTGCGAATGCATGCGAAGAGGCGAAAAACGTTATAAAAACCTTAACGCTAACAAAGCGCCGAGTTGCTATAGCTCAAGAGGCATGTAGTCGCATTAATGCACAACTTAAATCGCACTTCATGTGTCATTAAGTACGCAATTATTTCACTACAAATGTATTTTGCATTCCCCCCCACACCTTTTTTATTATTTGCGCTGTTGTGTATTTTTAGAGCGTGTGAAGCGTTGCGCATGCGTCACATGCAAACGCCACAGCGGACAACGGTCAGTGACTTCGTATGTGTGGGTGGGTGTCACAGTAGAAAAAAGCAAAAACTCAGAAAAAGAAAAAAAGGAAAAAAAACAATTTTTTAATCACTTTTCCGTGTCGCTATTGAATTTTAAGCGGATGTCTCGTGTCATCTGCTCCAGTCGCTTTTCATATTTGTTATTATTTTGAAAATTTCATCTTTCAACATTTTCTTTTCACTTCCTCAATTATTTCGTCATAACTTCCCGAGCATTTGTACGCATCCGTCCATTTTGACAGATGTCGCAGTTCGCTGAATGTCACTCGCTGCCCGGCTAAGCATGTGGTCGGTAGGCGGTTATGGCTGGGTGCTGATGCGTTGTGGTTTCTTTATACCTTTTGGAGATTGTCGTATTGTAATTAAGTGAAGCTTATAACGCTTGAGTGAATATATGAATTATATAGTATATTTATAGTGAATTATGTAAGATGTTAGCAGGGTATATATTAAATTCGTTTTTATTGGCTAATTTGGGACAATTAAATTTAATAATATTTGAGATATATTTTATTGAAATTGCGGCTAAAATCTTTTACTGGAAATATATCTTCTTATAGAAGAAACAAAATTTTATACCTGCATCGAATAAGTCCGGTCAAACTATACAAATTATAACAGTCAAGTTACATAAATTTACAACCAGCTCAAAGTTAGTGAATATTATATAATAACATACTAGAAGTCTTCATTCTTCCGATATTTGGAAAAATAATATTCGAGGTCAAAGGCCATAATATTTTATTCCGCGTTTTTTAGCAAAACGGTAAATCTGAACATTTCTGAATACTGTTTTCCTAAAAGCTACTGAGTTACAATATAATGTGAAGAACAGATATGCTATAAGTCGCTTTCTTATAAGAAAGCTCTATGACAATCAAGCATATGCTTTTATAACCCATATTCTTTTCGAAACCTTTTTAGTGCAAACTAGTGTACTTATAAATATATGATCTGCTGACGTCGTTTAACCAATTTTAACATGGGGATTCTTTCCACTTACCGTCTTCTCCAGCAAACGACTTATACGCTCATTGGGATCGAACTTGCGCTTTCCTCTAACCAGTACATATATTGTGCCAATGTCGGGGTGTGTATCCAGCAGTTCTGCAATCAGCACTGTGCCCAGAAAGCCGGTACCGCCAGTGATGAAAATGTTCTTATGCGCAAAGAACTCCGGCACTGTACCGATATTCTTAAGATTCTTCTCATTTTGATCTGTGAGCGCCAACTCTTCAGTGCTGCTGCCATGATCAGTGATGACAGCCATCGTGTGATTGAGATTTGTCGGCGGCGCCAATGTGATTGTTTACAAAACGGCGGGATGTAGTAGTATAAAGGCGAATTAAAGTCAAAGCGACACTATTGTAACGGTCAATAGATGATCTCACTAATAGGCTGAAAAGATAGAGAGCGCGATGTGCAAGTAAGTAATTGTAAATAAAGTATAAAAAATACCATTAATTTTAAGTGTTATACAAAACCCGATTTCTAAAGCTCATAACTGTATTAATTCATATGAATCATGTTCAATTTATTTGTGGTAATACAAATATTTTTAGTTGCATATTCGTGTATTTCATCGTTTGGGGGAAAAAAATTTTGTCAAAACAAAAATAAAAATTTTATAAAAAACAGCAAGAAAAAACTTTAACTTGTTCTGCACCGAAGCTATCATACCATTCACAGGTGCATTCTTAATAGGAGCTATATGTGTAACTGAATTGTTTGCTGCTAACGGAAAACATGTTGCTAGTTCTTTCTAGCCATATGTTTGATATAAGCAACATTTAAGGCGATTTAAGGTTACTTAGTAAGGAAAAATATCTCTTAAAAAAACTCTATCTTGATTTTGAGCGATCAGTTACGCTATAGTGGTCCTCTTTCAACAATTTTTTCGGTGGTTGTAGCGATTGGTTTTAAATATTTATTAAAATTAAAATTCTCAAATGTAATATGTATATGAATGATTTATAACAAAAAAAATTTATTAAAAGGTTGCCACCTGTTTGAAAATTTTCGCGTAGAGAAATTGATGATATAAGAAATCACGAAATTGAGCCGGTCTTACAATGTTTACAGTATACACATATTATTATTTTTTATTTTGAAGAGTTGCCACTTATAAAAACTTTTTGCCGTATGTTTTCAAAGTCAACAAAATTGATGAATTGACGAATGTTGACAATATGTATGTCAAAACAAATATATGTATGCTTGAAATATTTCTATTTGAGATATTTTTGCACCCGTTCAGGGTATATAAATTGAAAATCGACAACTCATGCACTTGACCGTTGTGAATGCCGACGAGAGCGCGTGCTTTAGCAGCTACTGCAGACACAATCACACAAACACAGCCACCGCCACAGCTTAAGCGACACGTCTAGGTCTTTGGCTTGTCGCGGCGGCAACTTGTCGTTGGTATGGCCTTGTGCGCATGCGCTTGCACCCAACCCTGGCCTTGGTGTGTGCGTAGTAACGTAAAGAGTAAATACATACAAACGTTTTTTACGTTGCTTCCTTAGACACGATTGAAGTGTTTATGGTATTGTTGTTGTTTGTCTAGTTCATTAATTATACCAATTTTAAGATTTCTTTATTTTTGTTCTTATAAATCTAAAAAAAAATTGTTATTCATATTTTCGAGAGCGAGTCTTGTGCGTTGTGGTTATACCTTTGCTACAGTTAAATATCAAGTTATCGAAAAACGAGTTATTCTTATAACATATGTGTGATGTACACTGCTAAAGTTTTTAATAAGAATTAATTTTTGACTTTAAATTTAATTTGTGTGTTGCTTTACTTCTTTAGAACAAATTGTTTTTGTAGGTCATATGAGAAAAGACACATTGAAAGGTAAAATGAAAATTGATCAAGTACAAAGCACAAAATATGGTTGGTGGTTTAATATGAGAAGGATTTACTAGTATTTATATAAATTTAAATGTTGGTGGAAGTTTTTTAGGAATGTTTTTCTGACAATAGAAATCTACTCACACCCTACTCAATTGCATATTCAACCCACAGAAGTGTAAGAGAGAGAGCGAGAGTAGTTTAAGGAATATTTAAACCGATGGTAAAATATTGGTTTTATTGTTTAAATGCATAAAATATTTTTTCTTTCAAATTTTATTGAATTATTGTTTTTGGAATATGTGGCTATCTTCCTTAAAAAAATATGTAATGTTGAAATACTTCTGAAGCCGCTTTAGTTTGATATTTATAATGCTTGTCCTTTCAATTTTATGAGCTTTTAATTTTTAAACAGATGGCAACCTTCATCAAGAAAATATTTCAAGCTTTCTTATACCACTTCATTAGAGCCAGCAACTCTATTTTAAGAGCTCCTCTGCATTATTATTTTCTTTAATTGTCCTTTTCAAACGGGTGATAACACTTTACAATAATACATATATATATCCCACAAAAATATTATTTATGTTACTTTTTTTAATTAAGGATTTCCAATCCATAATGTCAATATTTGTGCATCTTCTTAATTTTATTGTTTAGAACAATACATTTATTTAAGTGGCAACCCTTCCAAATAATTAATAAAATAAAATATCTTCATGTCTACGGCCATATTATAAGAATTCTTTTGTATTATTAATTTTAAAAAAGAAATACATTTTTCAAGCTGGTGGCAACACCTTACAAGAATATCTCCGACAGATATATTTCTCGCTTACATACATATTTTTGAAATCCATATTGTGAAAGAGTATGTACGTATCTTACTAATTGTATTGAATTTAAAAAAAAAATCATACAGCAATAAGTTTATACAGGTGGCAACCATTCTAAATAATTAATAAAATAAAATCATTTACAATTTAATTGTATTATTGTAAGAATTCTTGCGTATTATTTATTTTATTAAGATACATTTTTTAAACAAGTGGCAACGTTTTGCGGAAATATCTCCAATAGAGATATTTCTACATACATACATTTGTTTTGAAACACATAATGTCAAAATTCGTGTGTCTCATCAATTTTATTGATTTAAAAATTATACGGTTATAAGTGGCAACCCTTTCCAATAAAAAAAGTATATTGTTTGTACTAAAAACATTTTAAAACCGTCTCAATTTCGTGGTTTCTGCCGTCTTATCATTTTCTCTACAGTAAAAATTTCAAACACGTGGCAACCTTTTAATTTTTTTTATAACATACTTGTATACATATTATGCTAAAGATTTTAAGTTTAATTTAATTTTTAAAACAACTATATCAAATCTACTAATATTTTAGTTGAAATAGAGTAAGTCGACTTGGGTTAATCTTGGCAATTGGTGCTGTTCGGATCAACTTATTCGAGACTCGAAATTGTGCTTCAACTTAAACAATATCTCTCAGTCGGTAGCTTTTTATAATGTTAAATGAGATAAAATATTAGTTAACGAAATGCTTTTAGCGACCAAACAACAACAGCAAAAACAAATTCGTAATATACGAGTTATCTATTTTCAAAGCATTCTCTGCATATTTTGAATGTCTCATAGTAGTTTTAGTCGCCATCATTTAATATTCATAGCAACCAAGTATGCAGTGCCTTTCTGTCTGCAGATCGTGTAAGCTAACGTGTTTTAAGATTTTTTTTCTCTATGCAGATGCAATTTTTCAAAAAAAAATTATGGTTTTCTTCGTTGCTTGTAACTTTTGTTCCATAAATACTAGTGCGTATGCATCTAAATGCGTTCAATGAATGAAATTTGTGAATCATGGCTTGGTGTCTTCGAACTCTATAAAAAAAAAACAAGTCATGTTATCTGTTTATTTCTTCTTTTTGATTGTATGTATGTTGGCTTGGTATTTGTGTCAAGGTCAATTTCAAATGAAGCTGCGCGTATCTGAATTGATTACGACCAAATGCCATTACAATGAAATAACACCAACACATTAGCACAAGTAAATATGTATACTATATTATATAAATAATATTGAAGTGTTTCGCCCTTACCAGAACTGCCCGAATATAAATATCGTTTTTTACAATGCTTAAAAATATCTATCTTAATCTAGTTTTTGGAGGTGAGCGACTAGCAGCAGTCAAAATAAAATATTTAAATGAAATAAAATTACTTTTTAACATATGTATATATGTATAAAAAACTAAATAAATATGTAAGTATGTCAATAAAGGGGTGTGCGTACTAATAGACATTTTGTTTTATGTAATCTTTTTTTAATGTAATCTAATGCGTATTGTCATATCAGCTATATATTAGGCTCTCCGACGAATTTGTCGACCAAGTAATACTCTTCAGCGAATCGAACCTTGCGATAGCATGTCTTTTGAAGCAAGCGCAGTAGTGTTATGATTATTTCTTAGTGAAGAAATTCTATTTTTCGCATTAAAAAACATTGCTGTAACCACTTACTTTGGTTTTCTTTAAATTATTATACTTTATTTTAAGGCTTATGTTTTAAAAATAGAATAAAAAAAAAGAAATTTGTATTTTCATTTGTCATTTGAACCATTTGCAATAGCAAAAGATGAAATATTCAAAACAAAGCTTGGTAGCATTGAAGATAGAAATTATACCACTTTAATGAGGTATCCACATACTCTTTTGCTTCAATTCAACTCGTTAACTTTGTGATTGCTTTCATATTTAAATAGTTTGACAAGAGAGCAGAAGCAACCAATCGAAGACAGCTGTTATAGATTTAAATTATGCCAGTCTTTTGTATTTATACCGTTTTTTTGACCTGACACCTCAATCCTCAGAATGGTTTCCACTAGTATTTAACGGTGTAAAAATGTATTAAATAAGTATGTGATACTTACTACTGATAAGTTGGATATCGAATCAGCTGAATTAATATAAAATTGTGTAATATATTGTAATATGAGTAAAATCTGTAGATTTTTGACATAGTTCGGTTAAATGATGTTTGTTGCACAGCAGAAGCCCGTAAAGTGTAGCTAGATCTGAACTATGCTGTACGACTAAATATTTTTTTGAGCGTGATCATCTACTTAGGCGTTCTTTTCTCTCAAATCATGCCTATAAACCCAAATTTGATGATTTTACATGTAGTTTATGTTGATTGGGTTGTCTAAGCTAACCTAACCCTAAAAATTTCGAAAAAAAACAGTGTTATGCAATTTCGAAAGTGTATAAATTAATGGTTAGTTGTAAAAAAAATCTTCAAAAAGTGTTGTAATGAAATACGAATAAGCTTTAGAAATTATTCTTCAACAAATGTTTTAAATCCTAAAAGGAGCAGTTCTAAAAATATCTTCAAATTAATAAATAAATAATACTTGAGACCTATTTTTACTGAAAAGTATAGATAAAACAAATGTATTTCCATAAAAAGGTGTTAAAATTTATACAGAAGTTAGCAAGCTGTCCTGTTACAGGTTTTTTTTTACAATTTTC